GTCCCATCACTGGTTGTCAGTTTAATGCGTTTTATTGGTTTTTAAACACATTAAAGCTCGGATGGCCTGAAGTTATGAAATAAAGACTCCATTTGATCTTAACTCCATGGTAATGTATGTTAGGCCCATGCTTACAAATACAGATTTTAAACCCGACAGTCAAATAACTCCCACATTTAGGAAAAATAGCAAAAATAAAAGCTTCTCTTTAAAAGAAATAGTTTGAAACGATAAATCACACTTTTGTTTCTTTGTGTTGTCATTTTATATTATTTAGTGAATATTCAGGTGTTGTTCTGGAAACACACCCAGCAGACTATGTATGAAGGACTTTAAGTCACAGTAAAACAGTGAACTCTGCAATCAATCACAACAACCATTCAAAATCTTTTTAAAAAATCACTCAGGTTTCAATAAAAAGCTCATAACTGAGCTGATGAAACTTAAACTAAGTTACTGCTTTCTACACAAAAAAGAAAGAAGTGAAAGAAATGATATAACAGTTCAGCGTGGGTTCAGTTTTTTATTTGCGTGTCTTGTTCCTTCCTTATGACTAATTAAAACACTTATTTATTGAACAGTATGTAATAATTTCATATTTAAAGCACATTCAGAAGTTGGAATATCACGGGTTTTTTCCTTTAAAAACTTTGAACCAATCTGGTTGAATTGCCTTGAGATGATATATCGTAAATTTTTTGTGCTATATAAATAAACTGAGTTGTATGATGGAGTACGTTAACACTTCTACAGCCGAAAACGATGTTTATTATTTACCAACCATGATCTGAATTTCGGTGCCGAACCACCACAGAAGCCTTGAATACAGATGGATGATTGAATGGATGCATTCAGGTTTGCTTTAAAAAGAAAGTTTAAAATGGAGGAATGTTTTATGTTTTATTGTGAGTTAAAATGTATTTAGGAATAGACCTTCACTTCAGTTAAGCAGTGTGAACAAAATATATAGATAAGCCAGGAACTTTGAAATTGAACTCTGAAATAAGGTTTAGAGAAACAGGTCAGAAGATCTGAAAGGTTGAACTCCAAAGAGCAAAAATAAACACCTGAGAAGAAACAACAGTAATAAAATACAGAACAAAGAACACAGAGTCAAAGATTTTAACCAATCTAAGCCTGCTGCACCCAGACCTCCCCACCCTGCTGTTTTGTCTTTCTGGGGGGGTTTGGGGGGGCTTCAGTTTCCCGTTAATCAGTTTCCGTAGTTTCAGTTCTCCGTCACCACGTCCTTCCAGTGGACGGTTGACCGTTTCTGCTTCAGCCGCCTCTGCAACTCCTGCAGAATCTGTGGAGAAACATGGAGTCATGAGACGCAGAAACATTTCAGTGTTTTACCAGAAGAAGCTGCTGGTTAGAAATCTGTCACGGTGGGGTGGAGGTTTGACAGCAAACAAATGCACACGCTGAACTGAAGTGGATTCTTGAAGATTTAATAAGAAAAAAGGGTGACAGAAGCAAAAATCCAAAAACATATGTCTGCAAAAACTGAGAACTACGAATACTGACAACAAGGAGGCAAAGAAATGACGACAAACCAGCAAACAATGGTTTGAATTTATGGGCTGCATCTTCCCAAGGCCAGATTCGATGGCCGATTACGTCATAGCACCAAGAAGGTCTGGTCTGATTCCAAGACTCCTCCTTATTTAGCCTGCAAATGCGTCCTTCTTTGAGCCTAATTGGAAGGACGGGTCCGATGTATCCCATCTATCCTCGGGTATCCCAGGATTCATTGCGAGATCAAGCAATGAGGCTCCTCCATGATTGGACGAAAAAGGTATTTGGTGCCGAACAGTGGTGAAAATTGGAAGTTCAGTTTAATATAATCCAAGTATGTGAATAATTCCATCTAAAATGAATGAAAATAGTTGTTTTACACTGGAAAAACTATCAAAATTATCAAAAATGTCTTAAATTAAGTGTATCTACTCTTAATTTGAGCAGGTAAATGAGATGATTTGCCAATTGAATGAGTATTTTTACTTTTAAAATTATATTTGGATAAAATACACTCGAAAAAAGACAATGCAATTGTTTTTTCTTATTTTAAATGTAAATTGTCTTATTCCATTGGCAACGTGTCTCACTTACCTCCTCAATTCAAGAACAAATGCAGTGTAATGGTTATTGAGTCAGATATGTGGCGGTAATGTTTGATTTAAGGTTTTATCTGCTACTGTGTAAATGGGTTTGACTGTAATTTAAGGACAGATTCTAATATATCTGCAGTGTGGGGACTATAAATAATTTTTTAATTGCTATTTTGAACAATTTGCTTAACTAAGTAATTTTTGTACTAAGTAATTACTAAGTAATATACTAAGTATATTATACTAAGTAATTTTTGAATACAAGACATATTTTTATACACTGCAAAAAAACATCTAGAAATAAGTACAACATTTCTTAAAATAAGTGTATTTACCCTCAATTTTAGTAGGTAAATAAGATGATTTGCCAATGAAATGAGCATTTCTACTCCTAAAATTTGATAATTAGATAATATTCACTTGAAATAAGACAAAGCAATTGTTTTTTTTTCTTATTTTAAATGTCAATTGTCTTGTTCCATTGTCTCACTTATCTCCTCAATTCAAGAAAAAATTCACTTAATTTAAGCAAAAATGACTCATGTAGATTTCCATTTTTTGCAGTGTACATACATAGTTTAGATTTACTTGTATCTTTCTCCCCCTTTTTAAAGAATATAACAGAGTAGAAATCTCTTTATTGTCCCACAATGGGGAAATTCTGGTGTTTACGGCAGCAAAAAAGTTCTGGAAAAAAATTGTCACACGAATGTGGATCTTAGAAAAATGTATAAGAATAACATAATA